CATGCTGGGCAAACTAAATTATAAACCCATGCTGGGCAAACTAAATTATAAACCCATGCTGGGCAAACTAAATTATAAACCCATGCTGGGCAAACTAAACTAAATTATAAACCCATGCTGGGCAAACTAAATTATAAACCCATGCTGGGCAAACTAAATTATAAACCCATGTTGGGCAAACTAAATTATAACCCATGCTGGGCAAACTAAATTATAAACCCATGCTGGGCAAACTAAATTATAACCCATGCTGGGCAAACTAAATTATAAACCCATGCTGGGCAAACTAAATTATAACCCATGCTGGGCAAACTAAATTATAAACCCATGCTGGGCAAACTAAATTATAACCCATGCTGGGCAAATAAATTATAAACCCATGCTGGGCAAACTAAATTATAACCCATGCTGGGCAAACTATTATAACCCATGCCTAAATTATAAACCCATGCTGGGCAAACTAAGTTATTAAACCATGCTGGGCAAACTAAATTATAACCCATGCTGGGCAAACCAGATTATAAACCCATGGGCAAACTAGATTATAAACCCATGCTGGGCAAACTAAATTATAACCCATGCTGAGCAAACTAAATTATAAACCCATGCTGGGCAAACTAAATTATAACCCATGCTGGGCAAACTAAATTATAAACCCATGCTGGGCAAACTAAATTATAAAACCATGCTGGGCAAACTAAATTATAAACCCATGCTGGGCAAACTAAATTATAACCCATGCTGGGCAAACTAAATTATAAACCCATGCTGGGCAAACTAAATTATAAACCCATGCTGGGCAAACTGCTGGGCAAACTAAATTATAACCCATGCTGGGCAAACTAAATTATAAACTGGGCAAACTAAATTATAACCCATGCTGGGCAAACTAAATTATAAACCCATGCTGGGCAAACTAAATTATAACCCATGCTGAGCAAACTAAATTATAAACCCATGCTGAGCAAACTAAATTATAAACCCATGCTGGGCAAACTAAATTATAACCCATGCTGGGCAAACTAAATTATAAACCCATGCTGGGCAAACTAAATTATAAACCCATGCTAGGCAACTACTGGCAAACAATGGTCATATTCAGGCAGAACCTGGAATTCGAACCCAAGATCATTGAACTAGTGTTGGAGAAAAACTTACACACACACCCCACCCCCACCCAAAAAAAGAAAGAAAAACAATACAAATAAGTAAATGAATAGATTAATAAATGAAATATACTAATTTAAAATATAAAAAATAAGAAAATGAAACCAAACAACAACACCAAGCAAACATAATACAACTAAACAAAACAATAACAAGATAATACAACTAAACAAAACAATAGCAAGATAATACAACTGAACAAAACAATAGCAAGATAATACAACTAAACAAAACAATAACAAGATTATACAACTAGACAAAACAATAACAAGATAATACAACAAACAAAACAATTACAATATAATACAACTAAACAAAACAATAACAAGACAATACAACTAAACAAAATAATAACAAGATAATACAACTAAACAAAACAATAACAATATAATACAACTAAACAAAACAATAACAAGATAATACAACAAACAAAACAATTACAATATAATACAACTAAACAAAACAATAACAAGATAATACAACTAAACAAAACAATAACAAGATAATACAACTAAACAAAACAATAACAAGATAATACAACAAACAAAACAATTACAATATAATACAACTAAACAAAACAATAACAAGATAATACAACTAAACAAAATAATAACAAGATAATACAACTAAACAAAACAATAACAAGATAATACAACTAAACAAAATAATAACAAGATAATACAACTAAACAAAAAAATAACACGATAATACAACTAAACAAAACAATAACAAGATAATACAACAAACAAGAACAAAATAAAGCACAAATAAGGACATTACACTTGGATGGCATCAAATAAATAAAAACAAGCTCTGCTGAGTGTTGAGAGACTAACGTTTACAGACACGGAAAGTTGTGTATTTATACTTCTATATATATTAATGACACAAAAAGTAGCACATCTAATAGACACGCCTTTGCCTCTGACCCGCGAAGATCCAGGTTAGAACTGGTTGTCGTAAGAGGCGACTAACGGGATCGGGTGGTCAGTCTCGCTGACTTGGTTGACACATGTCATCGTATCTCAATTGCGTAAATCGATGTTCATGATGTTGATCACTGAATTATTTGGTCCAGACTCGATTATTTACAGACCACAGTCACATAGCTGGAATACTGCTGAGTGCTGCTTTAAACAACAACCCAACCAACCAACCTTTGTCTCCAGACCAAATATTGTTCACAAGCACTTGTTTTTCTGGGATACTGTCACATTCATTAAAACGCAAGTATAATTATCACTGGATACACATGACACCTATTTTCGTGGTATTGTTGAACACATAATTTCTATGCATGGCCTCCGTCGGAAACGGGTATTATTTTAACCGAGCCATCGACAAAATAGTAAATATTGTTCAAAGCGACGTTTACCAAACCTACCACTCATCTCGTGAAAGAGAAGAGACACGTGTATTCCCGTTGTTACCCTCTTTGTTGAAATATCAGACAGACAATCTCACCATTGTCAAGAGCACCAACAACACCAACGATCACAGGACCACAATACGTAAAGCCAGTGTTCTGAAGCCATATATATCATTGCCACCTCTTGACGGCGGTGTTTCCGGTTCCAAGCGATGGATTAATGTGTTCGCACTTGTCAACTGTATATAAGACTTCCGATAAACACAGCACGTGGGACATGAATATTAGGAGAGTTCCATATCTGAGGACAGTTCAGAGCATGTCATACGGCTCTTTCAAAAAAAGATGCAGATACACAGTTACAGCATTCAAGGCATCGGCGAAACATTCAACATGTTTTATGGTACATATTCCCTAGACTGACAATATTGCCAACAATTATGTCCGAAACAATTACATTTGATGAGGTGTATTATGTGCAATGTTTTTTCCAGACAAATAATTGTATAACAAATGCGTACTCATGATCAGAATTCAGAATTCAGATTAGTTCAATCGGCTCTGCCTTTAACAGAGATTTCTTATGGATGTGGAAAGGGTTCGGTAGATTTTTATTGTCTTAATCAATTGCATTTGATGGCGTGTATTATGTACTATTCTTTTTCAGGTTAATAATTGTTTTACAAATGCGTACTCGCGATATAGTCAAAATAGTACAATCGACTCTGCTTTTAACAGAGATTTCTTATGGATGTGGAAAGGGTATTGTTGGTTCTGTTTGCGTGTGTTTGTAACTGGGGTTGTTGTTGGTGGTGTGTGTGTGTGTTTGATATTCTCACTCTGTCGCGAACACCTGGTGTCATCTCTATCTTATAGTGATTATGTTATATGCCCTACATGTCATTATTAAACATAAACAGTATATCTCACTTGCCTGCATGCCATTACATGACCACAGTCATATATCTCTATTGTAATTCACAAACACATGCCCATGAGAATCCCGAAGAAATCACACAACGAATTCTGTTTTTGTCATGGATTACGTATGACTATGAGAAATATTTTGTCGCTTTATTTATGTAATTGTGTAACATTGTCAGCATGTCTTGTAAATGTATATAACGAGAAGTGCGATCTGATGATGGTTTAGCAGCGACGGGAAATTTCAGGAATTTTAATTCATGCAGATCAATAAAAAGGGCATCTTTCGGCATTGCGAATGAACAGTCTCGATTTAGTTAATAAGTCACAGCATTCCGATCCGTTGTCATTGAAGCATGTGGCATCATCTCCATACACTGCGCCATTGTGACACTCTGCCTCTCAGCTTCTCATACCCGTCGAGAGGCAGATGATCAATAACATTTTGAATTTTCAATGTGGAATTTTGTTTAGATTTATGTTTTGTTAAGTATAACATGTACGGATTTTTGAAGATTTGAAACCTCATGTTAGCACTGGTATTTCCAGAGATAATAACCGAGTATGAATTATCCATCAACGCCCTTAACGCTGAAATGGTGATCGTCTAATGTACATGGGAGTATATTCGAATTTATACCTATGTCTTTTCGTCGCATAGACTAAAAATTCAATTTTCAATTGTGGTCGAGTTTCCGGCTTGCCCTCATATCGCCCACACCTCATATGCCTACACCTCATATCGCCTACAATAATTATAACGGCCAGTTCTACCACCCCTATCATAATATTGGGTATTACCCAACTGGCTATTGACATTAAACAAATAGATCTTGTACAATGTCTGTGTGACTTACATTAGTATCATTGATCAGCCATACTTGTTTTGATTGTATAAACATGACTTACTTATCTTCTTCTTTGATCAACCATACTTGTTTTGATTGTAAAACATGACTTACTTATCTTCTTTCTTTGATCAGCCATACATACTTTCATCTTTATGTTTCGAGAGGAAACCCAATGTTCACGTCGACATTCAGTTCTCAGCATTCCATTCGTGATCAGCGGATTTTAAATCCACCCAACTATCATATTGACAGTCAGTTTCATTTCTAATTCTGCAGATAATACTTAAATGTAATATCTATGTGTCATCTAGTAACAAAATTATTTATGAGAAAATTATTACCGAAACACACTGTTCATTGGCATAGCAAAGAACTGGTGCTTGTAGAGCATTACTTGCGGAGTGTTCTTTTATGCTTTGCGCAGTTGAATACACAACAAAGAGTATACTGACTCCTGGCATAATGTACATTTTACTGCTGTACATGTCGCAAGCTGTGACAGCACCATCAACGCAGAAACACAACGTAGAATAACACACACGAAGCGAATGTATCGAGTTATTAATGACCGACAGTTGCATTGATTTTTCTTTAAAATTCCATCCTAGCTTTCGCTTACCCATTTATAAGATCATCCTCCGTGCTTAAGGCATAACTGCAATCTAATAAGTGTCTCCTTTTTTTTTCAGTGACGACTGTCGTTCACTACACGTGGTGTGCATCAACAATTCAAGACGTTATATTCCACTGGAGTCTGAAGAGGAGGTTGTATTGAATGATTTCATGTCTATCGTGTGAGGATTTATCACTGACCTAAAGATTGGAAGTGTTTTTGCATCGATCAAGACAATGTTTACGATTAAGACTTTGAATTGCGAAGTGGTTATCATATAATGCGGATGTTGAATGGAGCCGGAAATAATATTTTTGAAAACCTGACGTCTAATTCTTCTGTTGTCAAATTTGCTTGAAAGTGTGATGGAAGACGCAACGATTATGCATAAATATCAAAACTGACACTGTATATTGTTAGTACTGACGTTTGAAGACATCATATCACTATGGCAAAAACACAGTTGTCGTCTGCTCCAGACAAAGAAAAGGCCGGACAACGTGACAGCACTGGGGCCACACCCGCTCGTGAAAGGTCAAGGACACCTTCTGGCAGAGACAGAGTTATCGCCCCTGTAGACCTTATGTTGATCCCACCTGCAGGATGGAACGAAAACCAGAAAAATCGACGGCGGAGCACTATTCATTCTTATACCCTACAGCATTACCAAGCTCTTCCCAAGGACGCTCAAACACTGAAAAAGGTAAAGGAAATGACTTCCGGAAAAGCCATGAAGAACATACTTGCCCTCAGTGTTGCATTTATGTTCATTTTCACCGCATTTGTATCACTACAGAGCCTCCAGAGCACTTTGCACCCTGGTGGAGTGGGAGTAGTCTCCCTTAGTTGCGTTTACGGAACGACCGTTCTGTCATGCCTCGTTGCCCCTTGGCTCATAAACAAAATGTCGACGAAATGGACAATGGTCGTAGCTTTTGTAATGTTCACTGGTTACTTCTCAGCGAACTTTTATCCTATGCATGAAGTCCTTATCCCACTTGGAATCGGACTCGGTCTTCTTGCGGGTCCTTTGTGGAGTGCGCAAGCGACATACATTACGACATTGGCCTTGACGCATGCGCAACACGAGAACATCGTTGAACCAGACGGGTTCATCAACAAATATATGGGAATTTTCCTCGGCTTTTACCGAAGCAGTTTGATCTGGGGGAACATGATTTCAGCTTTCGTCTTGTCAAGCAACTCTACCCTTGAGTATCAAAAGTACAACTTCAACAGCACGCATACAAGTGAAATTTGTGGAGCTCGTGACTGTCATATTTACGACTCCGCCGACGGCACGTACAACAATGACTACAGTCGGCTAGAGGGTTCGATCCCGGATTCCACACGTTACATGCTCCTGAGCATTTACCTTGGGTGTGGCATCATGGGAATTGTGATTCTTGTGGCGCTTGTGGATAAAAGCAATGTCGGAAAGCAGGATGCGGATCCAGAGTTTTCTCTGTCGTCCAAAGAGCTGTTTTTGTCGACACTGAAGATGTTTAAGGATTCAAAATGTGTGCTGCTTATTCCCCTCGTGATGTTCGTCGGGCTGGAGCAAGGGTTCATGTTTGGGGACTTCACTAAGGTGAGTTCTTGAATGATTTGTGGCCATGTAAAATATTTTCATGCTTTTGGGAGCATCCTTTATATGTAAGAGGTCGGGGTGGAGGGATTATACGTTATATTTGTGCTCCGGCTTTATCGAAGAATCTGTTTATGTAGTGAGCATATCAATGAATCTATATATTTTCACTATTTATTACAAAAATCAGTTTGGATATCATTCACCAAATGAACTAATTATATTTTCGCCATGCCATTAACTATTCATATTTGACATATTTAAAAAATTAACAAAAATAAATTATAAACGTCCCTCCATCCCACTGAAATTAAATGGATGCTGCCTCATCACTTCTTTCAAAACTCACCATTTAGGGATAAATGAGTTTATACTGTCCCGCTCAACGTTTATGGAGGACCGGATCCTTGTATGTTGCACACGAGTTTCATCCTTGGCTAGTTTTGGGAATATCTAATACTGACTGCGTTAGCACGAAAGAGGAACCCCGGCACCATGAAGTTGCAACAATCTGGTCGATTTTCATTTGTTTTGTGAGCAACAAAGCCTTGCTTTCAGATGGTTGTCAGTTGCAAGATGACATGAAGTCATTGAATTTCGCGGCGACTATTAAAACCATTTCATCCATCCTTTTACCCATACAGGTCAGGTAGCCATTTGGGATTTTCTCTACCCATATTGTGCGTTTATATTGAAGGCAGCACCAGGGCTCTTTTTGCACACATGATCTGCATGGTATAACAAATTTCGTAAACGTTTAGAAATTGCTGTTGTTTTTCATTGTTTCTACGTTGATTAACGTCGCCCTCAGCAACATTTCAGCTACAAGACGGCAGCTTGTGAAAATGTTTGGTTTGGTTTCTTTGTTGTTTAACGCCGCACTCCAGCATTATTCCAGCTGTATGGCATTATATAGCATTATTCCAGCTTCATGGCAGTTTATTGCATTATTTCAGCTACATGGCATTATATAGCATTATTCCAGCTATATGGCATTATATAGCATTATTCCAGCTACATGTATATGGCAGTACATAGCATTATTCCAGCTATATGGCATTATATAGCATTATTCCAGCTGTATGACATTATATAACATTATTTGAGTTATATGCATTATATAGCATTATTCCAGCTGTATGTCATTATATAGCATTATTCCAGCTGTATGGCATTATATAACATTATTTGAGCTATATGCATTATATAGCATTATTTCAGCTATATGGCATTATATAGCATTATTCCAGTTATATGGCATTATTCCAGCTATGTGGCATTATATAACACTATTCCAGCTATTTGGCATTATGCCATTATTTCAGCTGCCATTATATAGCATTATTCCAGCTATTAGTGACAATTAAACGTTGTCGATAATAATCTGTTATAACACTGTGTCAACATGTGTATGTATTACTTTTCCCCTATTTTGGATCCGAACCGATTTTCACTCGACACTACAACAAAAAATATCCCTTCGTGGCCTTGTGAAAGCAGCGCAGGCTGAGTGGGTTAGACGGCTGACTTTGTGTGCTGGGCCTAGATTCTCGATGCTCTCTTAGCGCCAAGATAACCGTATATGCCATACATTAACACTAACTTACAACTATCTTAACGCTAAGAGAGCTTCGAAAATCTAAGCCCAGGCGATTAGGTGCCTGACTTTGAGGGTCTGGGTTCGAATCCCGGATGGGACTCAGCCCAACAAAAAGTACTAGAATCTCTACTTTACTAAGAAAGTGTACAACACACTTATAATATGTGTTAAAACTATCCATGCACAAAATACACGCCGGGTCACTGCCTTGCTCAATGTTACATTTTCTCTTGGAGGAAGTGTCTTCCACTTCACACATTTTTCGATTTTTGTACTCTCCAACACGTCAGTGTAAACGCAAGAAAGACTAGTTTTCAATAGTACCTTTAACATTTTCGACCGCCTCCGTGGTGTAGTGGTTAGAGCGTCCACCCGGAGAGCGGAAAGTTGCGGGTTCTATTCCCGACTGCGTCATACCAAAAGACGTTAAAATATAGTACTTGTTGGTCCCTGCCTGGCGCTCGGCATTAATGGGTACAAGGACTGGTCGGCTCGGAGTCAGTATAATGTGTCAGAGTGGGGTATTCATGCTTCACTGCGGCATGGTATCTCAGTGGGCTAGCACTATAAAACCAGCTTAAGTCTGGGCTAGTACAAGCAGCCGCACATACACATACACACGCATGCACGTCGTCATATGAGCGAAATATTCTCAAGCACGACGTTAAACCCAACTTCACCTCCCCTACAAGCCATTTTGATCGATGCTCATAATATCACCCACTTACAGGTCTGGTAAATTCCATTATTGACAGCCCGTAGCCGTCATAATCCTGGAATAGTGCGGCGTAAAAAAACAAATCTTAACAACCCAAATCAAAATCACTTCAATAACTGAATTTGGTTTATGGCCATTCTATCAAGTTATGACGTAAACATACTCAAACCACCGACGGTATTGGTCTTTTACCAAGCCATTATGTGATTTGCTTATTCCGGAGCGTGAGCTGCTCGTTTACTGTTGTCTACGAACTGTGCCAGAACTGCTCTGGAAATGGTTACCTGTTTGTTCTGACGCAGACCAGAAAACGTGTTCCATGCCAGGCACATATCAACCACACCCGAATCTGTTATTTTTCAATCACGACTTGGCCGTTTCACCACTGAGGGAAGGCTAATATCATTACGGTGTGATCTTGGCAATGGACGTTCTTCGTCATGTCGTTTCACCACGTCTACATGTTGTAGCTCATAGATCCTAATTTGCTCCACATGAAAACCGAATGTGTTTGGGTAAAGAGTGTATACGTACTCAACAGTCTCCATTATATATTTCCGGGGCGGTGGGGTAGCCCAGTAGTTAAGGCGTTCGCTCATCACGCCGATTCCCTACATGAGCACAACTTGAAGCTCATTTCTGGTGTCCCCCGCCGTGATATTGATGGAATGTTGCTACACGCAGCGTAAAACTCACCCACCCCACTAGGTAACCTGATGCAGTTAATCATCCTGTTGGGGTGCCATGCAGAATGGTTTGGTTTTGTTGTTGCTTAACGCTGCATTCAGCATTATTGCAGTTTTTGGCGGTGGTATGTAAATAATCGAGTCTGGACCAGACAATCCAGTTATCAACAACATGAGCATCGATCTATGCAATTGGGATACGATGACATGTGTCAACCAAGTCAGCGAACCTGCCTACCCGATCCCCTTAGTAGCCGACAAACATGGAGACCAGTTCTAACCCTGATCTTCAAGAGTCAGAGTGTTTTGGTACCGTAAGACTCTTTATCAACAACGCGGTGACACAGCTTTGGTTTGCTGGTGGCCTATAGCCCGTCTTTTGAACATTTTAAACAATTAAAACTATAATATGTCAAAACTATGTATGACGAACGTATGTATACCTACATATACACGTGCTTATTTGGCTATAGGTTTAAAAAAAGATGCCGAGTCGAAGGGAAGTTTTCACCGCACAGCTTCGCTGACAGAGACTGTAACATGAATGTATGATCTGTAACATGAATGTATGATCTGTAACATGAATGTATGATCTGTAACATGAATGTATGATCTGTAACATGAATGTATGATCTGTAAAATGTATGATCTGATCTGTGAATGTATGATCTGTAACATGACTGTATGATCTGTAACATGATAACATGAATGACTGTATGATCTGTAACATGAATGTATGATCTGACTGTATGATCTGTGACTGTATGATCTGTAACATGAATGTAACATGACTGTATGATCTGTAACATGACTGTATGATCTGTGAATGTGAATGTATGATCTGATCTGTAACATGAATGTATGATCTGTGATCTGTATGTATGATGTGTAACATGACTGTATGATCTGTAACATGATGTATGATCTGTATGATCTGTAACATGACTGTATGATCTGTAACATAACATGACTGTATGATCTGTAACATGACTGTATGATCTGTAACATGAATGTATGATCTGTCTGTAACATGACTGTATGATCTGTAACATGACTGTATGATCTGTAACATGACTGTATGATCTGTAACATGAATGTATGATCTGTAATGAATGTATGATCTGATATGTAACATGACTGTATGATCTGTAACATAAATGTATGATCTGTGAATGTATGATCTGTAATATGACTGTATGATCTGTAACATGACTGTATGATCTGTAACATGACTGTATGATCTGTAACATGACTGTATGATCTGTAACATGACTGTATGATCTGTAACATGAATGTATGATCTGTGAATGTATGATCTGTAATATGACTGTATGATCTGTAACATGAATGTATGATCTGTAACATGACTGTATGATCTGTAACATGAATGTATGATCTGTCTGTAACATGACTGTATGATCTGTCTGTAACATGACTGTATGATCTGTAACATGACTGTATGATCTGTAACATGAATGTATGATCTGTAACATGACTGTATGATCTGTAACATGACTGTATGATCTGTAACATGAATGTATGATCTGTCAATGTATGATCTGTAACATGACTGTATGATCTGTAACATGACTGTATGATCTGTAACATGACTGTATGATCTGTAACATGAATGTATGATCTGTCTGTAACATGAATGTATGATCATGTGAATGTATGATCTGTAACATGACTGTATGATCTGTAACATGAATGTATGATCTGTAACATGACTATGATCTGTAACATGAATGTATGATCTGTCTGTAACATGAATGTATGATCTGTAACATGACTGTATGATCTGTAACATGACTGTATGATCTGTCTGTAACATGAATGTATGATCTGTAACATGAATGTATGATCTGTAACATGAATGTATGATCTGTAACATTAATGTATGATCTGTGACATAAATTTTGTTCACAATATCGCTCACTGGATTGTCTAGCGCTGACTCACGTATTTACACACCGACATCCTAGCTGTAACATCGCTA